AGAAGCCCTTTGGGTAACAGTGGAAGATAGAAATGAGTCATTGGTCCTGGGGAGGTGACAAACACTTGTGAAGGAGAGATGGCTTTTCAGAAGCAAAGAGTTCAAGCCCCTATGAAATAAATAATCAGGGAGACAGAGGAAGTGTCTCTATTTGAGTGCAGTGTGCATGAAGTGCAGTAAAGGTTGAGTGATACGATGCCAGCCCTTGGTCTGCTCAGTGCTGAAGGTGGGCAAGCAGGATTTGGGCTTTACCACAGGAGATGGGATGTGCCAGGGAGACAGAAGAGAGTGAGTCAGAGCTGTGCCTTAAATGCAGCTACAGAGCACAAACTGGAATAGTAAGAGGTGAGAAAAAGAGCTCCCAGAGATGATCAGGTCAGTGACTGACAGGCAAAAATGGATCAGTGGGACAGATTTGTGTTTCTGGAGGCTTTTACAGAGAAGAGCATGTGTGGCCTTAAAGCACTGCAAGAACAGGCAGTTGTGAGGAGTGATCACTGTCCAGCACGGTCTGAGACTGATTCAGTAGGACTGGGCAGCTCTATTTTCCTTTCAAATAGTTACTGAGAGAGAGTTCCTTGTTTTGGAATCTAGTTTTCTTGTATGTCTCTGGAATTTTTTCAGCTCTCTGCTTTCAAGGCCATGGGCACTCAACCTGTACCTGCCTTTGGAATGGGAGGACAGCAAACCTCAAGCTTTGGGCTGTCAAGTAAGTTCCTGTTCTAAGACCCAAAACATTTGAACCTTTTCTGTAGTTTGCTGCTGCTGCTGCTGCATCTTTGAAAAACAGCAGTGGTTTAGTGTCCCTGGGGTAAGCCATTCTGATACATTTGGTAAATTCTCTACTTGCAGGCTTTCCTGTGAGCAGCAGCAGCAGCAGCAAACTACAGAAACTGCAGTGCCAGCAGTTTCTCCTTTAAAACCAGTTCCAACCTCACGAATTCCACATCATCTGGGAGCAGCCCTGCTGCTGGGAGCTCTCCTGCTGCTGCAAATCCTCCTGCATTTGGGACAGCATCCTCTCCTAGCGCACCCCAATCCGTCGGCTTTGGCAGCCCGGCCGCTCCATCCGCAGCCTCCTTCTCCTTTAAAACAGCTGCCACAGCTGCTGGCTTTGGGACTTCTGGCTTTTCAGGCTTTGGCAGCGCTTCTGCTGTGAACTCTGCAAGCACCACTCCGCTCCCAGCCTTTGGAGCCTTCAGTGCCACCGTAGCCACTTCTGCCTCGCCTTTGAGCGGTGCTTTATTTGGACAGAGCGCCAGTGCCTCTGGACATGCTGTCACCTCAGCCTCTGCTGCAGCCAGCAGCTCCAGCCCTGCCTCCGAGAAGTTATTCACACCCAAGAGCGAGTTATCAGCTGAAGAGTGGCAACAGTTTGAAGCAAAGGAGTTCACAATTGGAAAGATTCCTCTTAAGCCACCACCATTAGAACTTTTAAATGCTTTCGACCTTTTAAGTTTATTCAGAAGTAACATGTTTTGAAATTAAACAAAATGCTACTGTTAACTTTCTACATTTTACATTTTTAAATTTTACATTTGAGAAATGACCTGTTGGAAATAAAATGGAACATTTCCTTCTATTTGTTGTCCTGTGAAATTTTGGGGAAACACTTTATATAAAAAAGTTGTGTCAAAAGAAACAGTACTTCAGTCAAGTATTCACAGCCTTCTGTGAATGGAACCCTAGAAAGACATATGCAGTGCAAGTGCCTGTTATTGGATAGCCTTGTCTTCTGCCTCTTCAAATGTTTGTGCAGCGTTTAAGGATTGTGTGTCGAAAGAAGGGGGTGGCTCCTGTGTGGTCTGTGCCACTCTACACCCTTCTGTCCTTGTCCTGCACAGTTCCCTGTGCCTGTTGACACAATTCAGCTGTTGTTAGTAGTTTTGCCTGGGGTCACCAAGCCTGTAGGAATGTCATATAATGTGGAGAGGATGACCCTGAAAGCATTCATCCTGGAGAAGGAGCTTGTGGGTTTTTATTTTGATGCCTCTTAGGTGAAACTATGCAAGCAATAGCAAACCTGTCTTTCTGTGAATGATGGCATTTTGTTGTCAGGTTCTCAAAACTTGATGGGTGCATATACTAATGTTACCTCTCCGGAAGTCATGATGTTAAGGGATCAATTTTGTTGCCAAGACACTCTAAAGCAGGAGTCAGGAGTCTTCCAGAGGATGTCCTAAACTCAGGGAAGGAGAGCATTTGCTATCAGGATTCAGGAGAGACAGGACGACTGGGAGACATTTTAAAGTGTGTTTTATTATTATTCTTTTATGGTCTCATGAAGGCGTGAATGTCTTCACCATGTTCACAAGACCACAGGTTACAAGACCTCTGAAAGGTTAATTAGCCAGTAAACTACTGCCACAAAAGAATGTTTCTACTTTCACACCAATAGTTAATTATTTTGTTTTATACATTCTTGCCGCAGTGTAGACACTTTTAACCAATCAGACAGGGACACAAAACTACTTGGTATACCGTAAACTTCTTATTACCTTTATAACTACTCCTATATCTTAACTTCAAAACCTTAAAACTTTCTACTACTTAGCTTAATGTCTTTCTATCTAAACTACAAACCCACATTTTTGCTCACAGTATCTAAATCTGGAAGCCTTTTCCAGTGTCTCAGGTTAAACCCTCTGTTCATGTCTGTGTTTAAACCTACATTCACAAGATTTTGAGAACTTTCTGTGCTTGGAATTCCCACATTTGCTGTTGACCAGGCCCTTTCCTTAATAGTCTATAATAACCAAACCTCATCTTTAAGAGGAAATCAAATGTTAACTTCAGGATACACATAACTAAATCAATGGTTTCTTTCACACTTGTAGATAACATTTCAGTTCTCAGTATGGACCTTGTGGTCCTCTGTAAAACTTCACCTGTGTCATGTATCTGACCACAGGTCCATCAGATATTGGCTTGCTAAAATAGTGGGAATGACTGGAACAATATCTAGAATGGTGGGCTGGGGGGGAGAAGCTCTGCAGCCTTCATGGAGATCCAGGTTCCTTAGTGTGTGTGCTCAGTGCAGGTGTAGCAGAAATTTGCAGGTGTTAATATCTCGGCAGCCTGCTGCTGCTAAACTGCTCTAAGAGCTTTCCAGGCTTAAAAAGTGAGCATATGCTGTTTTAAACTGAAGTATTTTGCTTTTCTAAAAAAAAAAGGAATTGTAAGGCCATAAAAATCTGGATATTCTCTTGCACACACCCAAGAAATGTTGGCTAGATGTTCTCAAACATCCTAACACACAGAGACCTAGAGGAAGAAGGGAATTTTTAAATGCTAGGTCACACTGCTGTTAATAAACCAAGATTAGATGAGGTGTTCCTAATTCCAATGACAAGAAATAAAAAAAAGTTCAATCAAATGTGTTTTCTTAAAAACATCTCCTCACCCTTAAAAGTTTTTTTAAAATTACTATTACAGAGGTACTAGGTTTTGGCATTTTCACAAATGGGCTTCTGAGCAGCTGAAAAGATGGCAGGGAGCAGTGTGGTATGACTTACCTGGCAAAAGGCAAGCTGTGTTTGGCTGCAGAAGTAGGGGTAAGGATAGGATAGGAGAGAAGAGAAGGGAATAATATTACTCTAGGGGGCTCACGAAACTGCAGAAAATAGGCAACAATTTGTTAGACCGAAGCAATCTATCCCAATATTTTCTCTGTATTTCTTTTATTTCTTTTTTCTTTTTTTCTTTTTTTTTTTAACGTTTGTCCTTTTCTGCTTTTGGTATACTTGATATCAAAGTTGGTTGCAAGCACAAAAAATAATACCTTCTATTAGCTACAATTCTTTCATATTTTTTTAGCTTTTCCTTTTTGCAACTGGTTTTTTTTTTCATTTGTTTGGTATATGGCTGCTCCCCAGAAAATCAAAATATTGTGGTCTGGCATATAAAAACATATATAGGGTGGCATCAAACTCACTTTTGAGTAAGATGTCACTTACTGTATTTTGATTTAGAACAGAAAACATGAGGTGAATGTCCAAGCAAAGATGTGTACTGTCCTGATTAGCTGAAAATCTTGGTCTGTGAAATAGGCTGGAACATTCAAGCTCCATGTGATACTTTCAAGTACTTCCCCTACTTTGAAATAACAGGATTTATGAGTCACTGAAATTCCTGCAGTGTGGTACAAACAACTGATTTGAAGAATGAAGTTTTGGTTTTCAAGAGATCATGGATTAATCCCCAGACAGCAGCACTTGAGGCTGGCTGTACACAGGAGAGAAACTCTCCACTGCCCCAGCTGAGGAACCAACCCAGCATCTAACAAATGGAATTTTCTCTGCCCTTTTCCCTCACATACTAGCAGCACTGGCAGATCTCAAAATGTGATTTAGCAGCTGAGAAGGTTAAAAAAACAACTGTGAACCTCAGAAAGCATTACAATTAGGTCTTAAAAAATTAAACATCACAGTAGCCCCGTGCTCTGGAGTTTCACAACGTGCAGCAGCAAGTGGCATGGTAGCCTCACACGGAATGAGGGAAGATTGACTGCAAATAATCAGCTGACTAGATTTAAGCCTCAGAGAACAAGCTAAGGGCATCCACAACAATAAATTAACAATGACCAGAAGGCTAAGGAAAGAAGAGCTTTCATAAATGTGCCTGGGGAGGGAAAGGAATATGAAAAGCCTATTAATACAGGAACACTGAATTGAGATTGATAAGACTGAAATGGTGGAAATCTATTTAAAAAGTACTTGAAATGAGGGATGGTTGAAAAATCAATAAGGATGTTATGCAGTAACTGATGAAAACAAGAAAGAAAATGTTTGTGAAATGTGAGCTTACTGCAGCATAGTGGGAGTCCAGATAGTTTGCTGTACGGGTCAGTAAGGGAATCAGATAATGGGCTTGCTACAGTTCTGGTAAGTGATACCACTCAAATAAGTGGCAGAACACCAGGGATGTGCTAGCAAACCAAGGAAAAAAACTTACCTCAGTGAGCAAAGGTACTTAATTTGTTGACAGTTACAAATAATTTGAGGAGATTGTAAAGAAAGATCGATTGGCTTTGAGAAAGATCAATAAGTCATTTGATACAAGCATTTAGGAAGTTTCAGAGGTTTATGCAACAGTGATTAGGGTTAGTGATTAATCAGAAACATCTATGAGTGAATGCTTTTGTTTCTAGTCCACCTCCCATGTTCTAATGCAGAGGATAGACAGATTTACCCAGGCAACAGTGGAGGAAAAAGCCACAAATTGTACTTAGACAATTTGTCTATATTGATATCTACTTAGGTATCAATTTAAGTAGGTGTCTAATTATATTTGACCCAATATAAGCCTAATATAAGGCAAAGGAAAAGTCTGGACTACTAGTGTTCAGAGAGTGGGAGTAAACTGTAGAGTTGAAAGGTGCTGACAGTAAGTGAGATCTGAAGCCATGGTGGCTCAGATCAGCAAAATGTAGTTTGAGCTGTAGGAATCTCCTAGAGCTACAGTAATGCTGTGCTTAATTCTGAGCCTGCAATTGCCATAGAGCTGCAAGATGAGTAGAAGGAGATTCAGAGTGCAAGCAAAAGCCATTGGAAATGAGAATTCAGGAGGGAACTTAAGAGCTGAATATTTACTTCTTGGTGAAAGCAGAGGCTGTGACATGCAATGACTGTCTTTTTGAAAGGGTACCCTCTCTGGAAGGAGGAAACAGGACTTTTCTAGTAACCAGAATATTGCGCTACTTTCACAGTCTTAGACAGGAAGTTTCCCACCTGGAAAAGTCCTGTTCTACACCTCTGTTAAGATCTGGCCAAGCCAAAACCAAAACACAAGAAGCAAGTCCCTGCTTGTTAGGACTAGCAGTACATGTCCTCAGGGATGCAGCAGTCAGCACAAGCAGATTTGATCCCTTCCCTTTGAACTAAAATACACCAGTACTTCCACAGAGAGTGACAGGATTGCAATCTGAGCATTTGGGGCAGGGAGCTGTATGTGCCTGCCACCTCTTCTGGGAATGATTCAAGGTGCTGGTCAAAGAGGGAACCTGATTTTGAAGAGGCAGATTGACTCTCTAATCCTGGGAGGGAATATGCCTCTTGGTCTTGAAACTCACACTTGCAATTGCCTGGTTCTCCTGTTAAGAATAGCTAAGTGAAAAAACCAGAGTTGTTCTTAGCAGCTCAGCCTTAGGCAATATGCTTATTTAATATCCAACACTCTTGCAAATTTTCAGTATCACACAACAGGCTCCTTGGTGGGACTTACTCTCTTGCAAAAAAGTACAAAGCCAGATCTTAAAATGGAGAGAAGAAGAGCAAGAAGAACGAGACTTATATGTCAGTAGGCTGAAGAACATTTTTGTTCAGGTACACAGATTGCTTTGTCTTTCCTCCACAGCCAGTAGGATTTGTTCTTACCATGTCACATGAGGGACGTAAGAAACAAGTTTTATGCCTTTCCCCTTCCAGCAAGCAGGTCTGTTATGCTGCTAATTGCATGGTAGTCATTTGAAATGCAACCTGGTGGTTTTAAAGTACCTGCAGCAATTATATCCTGTTCCACCTGAATTTCTATCTTGTTGTGGCAGTGGGTTC